TTCATAACTATGCTATTTTCAAGATTGACTGTCTTAAATACGGAATTTTGTTCACTGATTTCGACCAAAAAGGGTTTCCTATGACCGATATATGACCTTTCAAGGACATGGACATACTAGGGAAAAATGTTGAAATAAAAGCTTTGGCTTTTACATAAAAAAACACATACACACATTGCTAGTAACTAAATATGTTAAAAACAAAATAGAAATTACAATGCACTTTGTATTCACTGAACACAGTTACAACAACTCAAAAAGAAATTTAGAAACTGCAATTCAAAACATTATAGATTAAAGTCAAAATACATTGCTATTAACTAAATATGTTAAAAACCAAGAATTATGGGCAAATATATCAAATTAATAGAAGTGTAATATTGATAATTAAAAACATAAAAGGGTAAATGCTAGTTTTTAATCATCAACTATCGTGCAATCCAAACAATCTCAGAAAAAATTAATTACATAAGACACACATACATACATACATTCAATCAAAAATCACTATGCTTTCTAATGGGCATATTATCAAACATGTAGAGTGCAACATCAAATGAAAGGTTAAAAAGACAAAAGTAAAAGATTGAAAAACTAATACTAACATTTATAATCAAGATTATTCATGCATTCAAAGATCACAGTCAAATACAACACTAATGAGAATCAAAAAATCAAATACAATTAATAAAAATTAAGAACATTATATTAAAGAATGAACCTGGATGATGAACGTGATGCTGCAAAGGGTGATGCTTTTTGAACGTGATGCTACAAAGGGTCTAAAGAAAACATAATATACCAACAGTAGCATATGATTTATACATCACTTTCAATAATGATTATGGAAAGGAAATCAAATTTCGAATTCTTTGATTATTTGAAATTGAGCAATAGTATCTCGTAATCTTGTAGATACGTTTAATGTAATAGATATGAATTGAAAGAATATATACGAAATGTGATAGTTAAGAACATGATTTTAATTAGGAAGGAACGAAATTACTTTCAAAAATTATGATGATGTTTAAATGAGTTGAACACATTACTTTTATAAATGATATTAACATTAAATCAATTAGTCAAACTTTCAAATTTAATCAATATTAATTTGCACTAAAAGAAATGGGGGCATTAGAGGCGACACCTTTAGCAGTAACGCCTAGCATTAGCGGGGACATGTGATTGACGCGTTACATGTCGCCGCTAATGCTAGGCGTCATCGTTAAAGGTGTCACCGCTAATAGTCACATAATAGCGATCCACGTCAAACGAGCCCCATCCATTCGATTTGTTTTCAATCGTAGGGTTTAAATGGAGCAAGAAAAGGTGTTGACTTTTCCCTCCAAGTGTTCGCCGCTAATGCCTCCGCGTCGCCGCTAATGCCTCAACGTCGCCGCTAATAAACGCCACCGCTAAAGTCCTTTACAGATAACCCTCCCTTCCAGCTTCCTTTCTATTCCTTTCTATGTATCGTGTTTTGTCTGTGAAATCTCCCAGCCGACTCAATTTCGTTCGACGATCAATCGCGTCCAGCCATCATTCCTGCCACAAGACCGCCAACACCGCTGACCCAGCCTCCATTCTGTCAATTTTGTCGAAGACTCGTATCACCAGCGATGACGAATCATACTATCGGCGATGAGGAAGTAAAACCGGCAACCATAGGTGGTTTTTGCCTTCTTCTCCATCGTTTTTTTTTTGTTTTAATTTTCTTCTCCTACTGATTTAAGAGTGATATTTTTGCAACCCTTGTAGATTTTTTCAATCTCTTGCGGGTTTTTTTGTTTTCTGCCGGAATTTAGCCTGAAAAAACTTGATTGTTGGAAAGTTGTGTCAATACGTCATCACCACCATTCTCCACTAGATTGCACAACCAGGTTCCTTTATAACTTATGTATTTTGTATTTATATTATGTGTATGTACATATGTATTTCTATGTGTTTTTATATGTATGTATAATGTATGTATATTTGTAATGTATGTATAAATGCATGTATATATGGTGAAAACAGAAAAATTGTATATATGTTTATGTACGTGTGTTCGTTTGCCGTATGTGTATATAAATTTGTATGTATAAGTTAATATGTTTATATGTGTATATTTGTTTACCATTAATGATTGAAATGTATGTATAAGTGTATTTTAATATGTTAATTTTTACCATTTGTGATTGAAATGTATGTGTAAGTATTTTAAAATATGTTAAATTTTACCATTTGTGATTGAAATGTACGTGTAAGTGTATTTTAATATGTTAATTTTTACCATTTGTAATTGAAATGTATGTATAAGTTTTTTTTTAATATGTTAATTTTTTACAATTTATATGTATATGTAATATGTGTATGTATTGTATGCAATTTGGAAACTAGAATGCTATAATGAAAAAAATGAAAAAAAAAACAAAAAAACAAAGTAGGATGCTATAATGGAAAGTATTATTTTTTATATATGTATTTGTATGTATAGAAAATTACATATGTAGTTTGTGTATTTGTATGTCATTTGGAAACTATAATGTTATAGATGAAAAAAAAAGTAGGGTGCCATAATAGAAAGTGTATTATTTTTGTATATGTAAGTCACATTATGATATATTTATTACCTCTAGTGGGCTTTGGTCGTGACTAATATTTTTAATTATATTTTTTAGTTGAGCTTCCTAAAAAAAGAAGAGGCCTAGCAAAAAACATCCAACTATCAAAGCTGATACAGGCAAATAAGGGAAAGCCCGTAGATTTGGATTTCGATAGAGAGCACACATATTCCCCTGTCGGGAACCGTGGTAATTGGTTTACCCGTGAGATTGGGAGGTATATGTGGATGAACATCCTTTGAACGTATCTGGTTGGGAGAATGTTTCCCCCGCTTTAAGGAATGCCACAGTCGTGCATCTAAAGGTAACTTAGATATTATTTTAAGTTTAATTGTGATTGATATTTAGTTAACTAACTTTTTTTTCTTTGTAGAATAAGTTTGATTTGGATAAGGTTAACTTGGATCCCGAGCGTGCTCAGTTGTTGCAGAGCATTGATGTGACTTTACAAAGAGTTTATAGAGGCCGAAAAAATAAAGTGCATACTTATTTTCAGAATGTCGGGGGGCTTACAGATATCCCAAGGGCATTAGCCAACCCCCGATGGTATGTCACGTGGAAATTGGGCACAAGCAGTTGAACATTTTCAAACGACGGAATTTTTAAAGGGTTCGGCATCAAACAAAGGAGTCCATGTACAACAAGTAGTTGTAAACAGAGGGGGGTCATGCTCGTATAGCAATGCATGTTTCAAAAAAGTAAGCTATGATATATTTAATTGTTTATTTAAATTATAATTAATCTAACTTTTAATGTTAAATAGGACATCACTCGAATTGAAGCATTTCGTAAGGCTAATACTGATCGTCAATGAGTATTTAGTAGTCCTGCAGTCGAGCAACAATATGTAAGTGGTTAATTTGTATTTTTATATAAGTGTTTATATCGTCAAGGGGTATTTTTTAATCTAATTATAATGATATTTATCATTTTTTTGAAAACACAGAATGCTTTATTCCTTGAGATCAGTCAACAAACTCAAGCTTCTTCACAAGCCATCAATTTAACACCAAAGGATACACAAAATTGTTTTGAAAGAATATTGGGTGTTCGACGAGGCCACATCAGAGGAATCGGGTGTAAACCTTCTATAGTTGTGTCGATGTACGATCAGGAACAACCACTGACACAGCCACCGCCACAATCACAGGTAAGAAAACTATTTAATTAATTTTGGTAATTGTTTCAAATGTTGATAGTTGTTGGTTTAGTAATAGTTTCAAATATTGGTAATTGTTAGTTTGATAATAGTTTAAATGTTGGTAATTGTTAGTTTTGGTTATAGTTTGATATATTGGTATTTTGTAGTTTGGTAATTGTTAGTTTATGAAAGTTCAATATTATAATATGTTATATGCAATATGTGTAGTTTGGTAATTGTTAGTATATGAAAGTACAATGCTATAATGGTATTTTGTAGTTTGGTAATTGTTAGTTATAGTAAAACGTCATAATGTGTTATATGCAATATGTGTAATTTGGTAATTGTTAGTTTATGTGGAATATATATTTTGTATATAGAATGTTATAATGTTGGTTTAACTTATAAGACTATGTTGTTTTATTTGTAGTTAGAAATGATTCAAACAATGTTAAAAGATTCGGAATGTAGTGCGGCACTTGAAGATTGGTTTCGTTCGTTGCCACAACGAAATAAACCGGAGGAGACGAGGAGAGCGATGATGACGAGTAGCTAGTTGTAGGATATTTGTATGTTTTGTTTGTGTAAGTATTTTAGACTAGTATTTTCGATATTTTGTATTATGTTAAATTGGATGAGTATTTTAAACGGATGTTAGATTAATATTTTCGAATGGAATGGTGGGATTAGCTTAATTAATATCATAATAATTTTTATACTTTTTATGTAGTTTTTTTAAATTTTAAATGTGAAATAACAAAAAAAATAAATAAATAAATACCGATAGCGATGATGCCTTTAGTGGCGGCATCCTATTGTTAGCGGCGACCACTGTTATTACCGACGACATTTAGATTATCAGCGACAACGTTTTAGCAACGACACGTCGCCGCTAATATTATTAGCAGCGACACATGCCACTTTTAGCGGTGATGACTGTCGTCGGTAATACTCTATTTTCTTGTAGTTTTGATTTAATTTAATTTTAGGATGACATCATCCAAATAATATAAAGGTTGAAATTAATAAAAAAACACAATGAATGATCTTGATCTTTGAAGATGATGTCGTAAGCTTTATATTTTAATATATATAAAGATTACTAAAATTTGTTGTATTAACTACTACTACAAGAACCGAAGAGAGATATTTCGATTGTAAAACCTACTCCCTTTTTGATTCACATCTAGGGCATGAAGAAATTAATGCGGCCAAAGGCATAAAAACGCGAAGATGGGGTCGATTATATCAGCAACATGCCGGATGCGATTCTTGTTTTGATTCTTTCACGTCTTTCATCCACAGAAGAAGCAATTCGAAGCAGCATTTTGTCCAGACGATGGAGGTTTTTGTGGACTGCACTTCCCTCTCTAGAAATAAACCTACCCTGCAGAGAAGAATTCAAAAAAAACGAATTCAAAGAGTTTGTGTATTGGGTTTTAGCAAGCAAAACCGTAGATTTGGATAGTTTTCGTCTATGTTGTGAGAATTTATACAGTATGTCAACAGTTGAAAGGTGGATTCATATGGCAGTTACGAGAAACGTCAAACATCTTAACTTGACATTTTTCCCTAAGGAGAAGACCAAAGCTATCGAGTTGCCCCATTGTCTGGTGACATGCAGTTCGTTGGAGGTATTAAAGTTGGAGTGGGTCAGCAGTCCTGGTCTATCTTTGCCTAAGTTTAAGGGGTTTCCAGCACTTCGGGTGCGTTTAGTTGCGGAAAAATGGACCGTTTTTCGGAAAAAAATTCCAAGAAAAATAAGAATTTTGAAAACGCGTTTAGTTCGTCTATTTTTCTAAATTTTTCACGGAAAATGAAAATTTTCCGTTTTCTAAAATTACAAAGAAGATAGAAATTTTTGGAAAACTGATAATCATTGTTTTCCACATTATTCTAATTTCAAAATTTTTCTAAAATATAAACACACACCCACTCCCACCCCATCCACCTCTATCTACCCCCACCTTAACACCCCCACCCACCCACACACACCCACCCGCACAGACACGCCAACCCACAAACACACACACACCCACTCACCAACCCACAAACACACACACACATACATACTCATCCACTCACACACCCACTCAAAAACACACACACACACACATACATACACACACACACACACCAACCCACAAACACACACACCCATCCACTCACAAACACACACATACATACCCACCCACACATACACACACACCAACCCACAAACACACACACACATACATACCCATCCACTCACACACCCACTCACAAACACACACATACATACACACACCCACATACACACACACACACCCACAAACACACACACACATACATACCCACCAACACACCCACACACACACACACACCCACACAAACACACTCACACACTCACACACATACCCACCCACAAACACACACACACACACACAAACCCACACCTACCCCCACCCCCATCCTCACAGAAACACACCCCCCCCACACACACACAAACCCACACCTACCCCCACAAACACACACTCGCACACCCACCCACCCAACCTCACCACAACAAGCACCGACCTACCATCACCATCACCACCACCACTACCACTAACTCGTCACTAGCACCACCACCATCGTCATCGCCGCCATTACCACCACTGGCACAATTGCCACCGCCACCACCATCGCCTGTCAGCACCACCACGGTCGCCGACCCGCTACCGTCACCTCCCCCACCCACACCCTACCACCGCTACCGTTTTCTAAAAATGAAAACCGATAGAAAAATACACATCTAAACACGTTTTCTAATTTTCTAAAACTGGAAATGAAAAATGAATAAATTTTAACTAAACATGTTTTCTAAATTTTTCAATGAAAAATGAAAACGGAAAACGAAAATCAAAAAGGGAAAACAAAAAACGGAAAATGAAAATTGTTTTTCCATAACTAAACGCAACCTTAGGGTTCTTGTTTTGAACTGGGTTGACTTATTGGACGACAGAGTTTTGGTAGAAGGTTTTCTCCAAAGTTGCCCATCACTCGAGGATCTGAGTTTGTCGGACTGCAAGCTACACAAACTTGATCTTCTTTGTATTTCATGTCCGAAGCTCAAGCGGCTGAGTATTAACTGTGAAAATAGGGACTGCTGTGACATTAAAATTTCTTGCCCAAAACTGGTGGATTTGAATTTGACAGGTTCTATGGCTTGTAATGTTTTCTGTGACCGTTTAGACTCCTTGAAGAAAGTTGTTAATGACCCTGTATCGGGCAGGAGCAATATTGTACCTGTGTTGTTTCATGGAAATTCTCATGTCAAATCTTTGAGGGTGCACCTTTACTTCTTGTGTGAGGTAACTTTCAGCTAAATTTTCTTCATTTTGGTTCAAATTTTTTTTTAGGGTAGTTTCTGCAATATGTGGAAATTCCATTTGCAACCAATTGCTCAGCATGACCCTTCTCAATCTACGGTTTTTCTTTTCAAATTTGGTATTTAAATTATATATATTCCTTACAAAGTTTCTAGAAAGGAGTAGGATAACTGGAGATGCCTGAATGTATCATTGGTTTTCATTAAAATTTTATCATTTGAGTACCTATTTAATTATTACCATGAATGAAGAATACCTTCAAACCCTTACTTTTTGTCATTATTGTAGTGCTTTAAATCTGCATGTGATCTGGCTCTACCTAATCTGAAGACTTTGGTGCTAACCACAACAATGGGTGCTTTTACCATCAATGAACTCATCCGAATTCTCAAAAATTGTCCCAAATTGGAGTCACTCAATCTGACCATTAAAAAGGTATTCGCATATTAAATGGTATTTTTAATTTTTTTAATGCATCACACTCTTTAAGCAGATGGGCTCACTTTCACACTTTTCTAGGTGTCATATATATTTTTTTAAATTCATGATATAAGCATAGATGTGGGAATTTCGGTCTTTTCTTTACCTATAAGAGCATTGGGTATGGGTCACGTTATAACGCCTAAGTCATATGCCATCTCATCCATAACACCACCATAACACCAAGGGGGAATGGTGTTCCCCATGTTGTAACATATTAAGAAGTAGAGAGAGAAAGGGAAAGAGAGAAAGAAAAAAGATTTGATTGAATTAAATATTGGTAATTGTATGTTGTATATCAATTAAAAGAACGCGTACAAGAGGAATATATAGATAACACAATTACATTCTAGACCCTGAACTATAACTATGTTATTAATATCTGACTAATATTCCCCCGCAAGCTAAGGCCGGGTAAAGACCTGTAGCTTGGATCGTAACCCTTCAAACCTCTGTGAAGATAACGGTTTAGTGAAAATATCAGCAATCTGATCATTAGTAGAGATAAATTGAACTAAGAGTTTCTTCACGGCAACCTTCTCTCTAACAAAGTGAAAATCAATCTCAACATGCTTCGTGCGAGCATGGAACATAGGATTGGCAGACAGTTAAGTAGCACCAAGATTATCACAATATAAGATCGGTGCTTTAGTAACCGGGATGCATAGCTCTCGTAATAAGGTTTCAAGCCAGGTAACTTCAACAACAATATCAGCTAGGGCTTTATATTCAGCCTCGGTGGATGACTGAGAGACAGTCTTTTGTTTCCTTGCTGACCAAGAAACTAAATTCGAACCAAGATATATAGCATATCCCCCGGTGGATCGACGGTCATCCGGGCAACCAGCCCAATCAGCGTCTGAGAAAGCAGTAACCAGAGGAGATTGCGCATCTCCATAAGCATGAATAGTGGTGTCAGGAGATGGTGTAAGATGAAGACCAAAAGCCCTTAAGATACCGAAGAATCCGTTTAACAGCAGACCAATGATTAGTAGTTGGAGAATGCATGAGTTGACAGACTTTGTTGACGGCATAGGTGATGTCGGGTCTGGTAGGGTGATATATTGTAGAGAGCCAACTACTTGACGATACTGTACATGATTCTCAAAGAGTGGGCTGTGACCAACAGAAAGAGAAGCACCAGTAGGAAGTGGAGTACTGGTCGGCTTGGCATCGGTAAGACCTGCATGCTGTAAAATATCCAAGACACATTGTTGTTGAGACAAGAAAAGACTAGTGCCATGATAAGCAACTTTGACACCAAGAAAATACGAGAGAGCTCCCATGTCTTGAAGAGAAAAAGTCTGACTTAGGGTGGTTACTATGTTCTCAATAGCACCAAGGTTGTTACCTATAATGATGATATCATCAACATAAACTAACATATAAATTTTTGTACCCGAATCTGAGAGTATAAAGAGGGAGGGGTCCGTGTGAGACCCTTTAAAACCAAGAGCATGAAGAGCCCGAGATAGCCGATGAAACCAAGCACGTGGGGCTTGCTTAAGACCATATAGGGATTTATGTAGTAAGCAAACATGGTTGGGTTTGTGTGGATCAACAAATCTAGGAGGTTGGCGTAAATAGACAGTCTCATTAAGATCACCATGAAGAAAGGAGTTTTTAACATCCAGTTGACGGAGGGGCCATTTTTTGGACACAACTAAGGACAGAACTACCCGTACAGTAGTAAACTTGACAACTGGGCTGAATGTCTCATGAAAATCAATACCGGGTTGCTGATGAAACCCCTTGGCTACGAGACGCGCTTGGTAACGTGTTATAGTACCAGCGTGGTCTCGTTTAATTTTGTAAACCCATTTGCAGTCGACAATATTAAGATTAGGTGAGTGTGGCACAAGTGTCGATGTGCCATTGCGTAGTAGGGCTTCATATTCATCAGCCATGGCTTTTTTCCAGTGTGGATGTTTAGCAGTAGTAGAGAAGGTTGTGGGTTCCTGTTCATGCTGGGTAGTAACATGAAAAGCAGATGGATCAAACCGAGTTGACTTTTTTGGGTTTGGACGAAGGTTAGAGGGGTGAACCTGAGTGGCAGGAGTGTCTGTAGAAGGAGCCCCAAGAGATGAAGTCGTGACAGGGTCTCTGGTGGTAGTGTTGCGCCAATTCCGACACGCATAGGTGAATAACGATGGCTCCGAGGCAGCAACCAATACCACTGGAGAAGGCATGGCAATCGTATTTGTAGGTGACACCGAAGTAGGGGCAGGAGAGGGTGTGGTAATCGGAGCTATGGGTGGGGGTAACAGTGAAAGAGGTGGTGGTGGTATATCATGTCGTATAGATGTCTCAGGGATAACAGGGAGTGGGTAGGTGGATACGTAAGGGTTGGTTGTTGAGGGTGTAGGTGTAACTGGAGCCGGTACGAGAAAGGGGAAAAAATTCTCGTGAAAACAAACATGACGAGAGATGTATACTTTATTTGTAGTGCGATCAAGACATTGGTACCCGTGGTGAGAGGAGCTGTATCCAAGAAAGACACATGGAATTGACCTAAAATCCATTTTATGTGAATTGTATGCTCTAAGATGAGGAAAACATTCACACCCAAAAACTTTCAGAAAAGAGAAATCAGGTTGTCATTTAAAGAGATGCTCAAAGGGTGATATACGAGAAGTGATACGAGATGGCATGCGATTTATAAGATAGACTGCAGTGTCAAAAGCAAAGTGCCAGTAAGTATTTGGAACACCAGATTGAGCAAGAAGTGTCAAACCAGTTTCAACCACATGACGATGGTGCCTCTCAACCAGGCCATTCTGTTCACTCGTATGAGGGCAAGAGTGACGGTGAGTAATACCAAGAGAGTTGAAAAAGGGTGTTAATTTTCGAAATTCACTCCCAATCCGTTTGAACAGACTCAAGTTATGTAGAGAATTGACGTTCAGTGATGGTAAGAAATTGTTTAAACACTTCAAAAACATCATATTTGCATGTAAGTGGAAATATCCACATAAAGCGTGAGAAATCATCAACACATAGCAAAAAGTAATTATGGCCATCATCTGAGGTCACAGGTGCAGGGCCCCAAACATCACACACAACAAGATCTAGGAAATTTTTACTATTAAAAGTAGAAGTAGACAAGTGAAGTTTAGTTGATTTCTCAACATGACAAGAATTGCAAAAAGAATCTGATATACTAGAAATAGGAAGACAATATTTAGAGCACATAAACTTTAGAAGTTGCAGATGAGGATGCCTAAGCCGTTGATGCCAAATGTTAGTCGGTGCTTTTAGAGCAGTGAATGCAACTTTGGGAAGACTCTTAAATGACGGAAGACAAATAGAGTAGAGCCCATTGTTACTTGGACCCGTGAGGAGGGTAGTTTTTGGTAGTATTGTCCTTCACAACAAAAAAGGAAGAGTGAAACTCAAAGAAAACAACATTATCTAAGCAAAATTTTTGAACAGAAAGAAGATTTTTTTGTTTTGAGGAACATGAAGAATATTGGACAATGAAAAAGTTTTTGAGGGTGAATACACTACAAATAAAATGGCGTTTAGTGGCACAAAAAAAATGTCACAAAAAACCTAATAAGTGCCACTAAAGGCTTTCTTGGCAATTAGCGACAGAAAAAAACGTGTCACTACAAATGCTCCCACTAAAGGCTTTTAGTGGCACATTTTGGTTCTGTCGCTGCAACCCTTTTGAGTTTTAGTGACACTTTTTTTTGCCATTATAGGAATTTTGGTTTTTATGGCACTTTTTTTATGCCATTAAACAATTACTAAAATAAAAACTTTTTTTTTTTTTTTTTTTTTTGTAGTTTTTAGCTACACTTTTTTATACCAAATGACATTTATATTTGAAAACTAGGTCCATTTTTTTATAAATTTAAATAGATCATAATATAATAAAAAACAACTAAGATAGTAAATGAAAAACCTAAAATATTACTTAAATTTATACTTGTCTTACAATTAAGATAATAAGTGTAAAACACAAATGCATTACTCAAAACTTAAGACTATCAAACTATATAATTTTTTGGAAGAAACACAAAACTTGATTCCACATGAACTTTGCATAATATTTCTTCTTGTTGATCCAACTAATGAACAAATACCTGCCATATGACCATGATACATCATATAAAACATTGATTAATTATAAAAATTATAGATTTTTTTAATAATCGTTAGCTTTAAAATGTTTTCTTTCCATGGGTTGTTTTTATAATGGAGCACAACCATCACGTTTCCACCAGAGCTAAAAAAATTAATTTGAAAAATAAAAATAAAATCAATTTATATTATTCATTCAAGAAGGATAAAAATGGAAAAATACTCAATTCCTTTCTCTTTCTAATATATGCTCAATGCTTTGAAGAAAATTTTCTCCTTTAGGTGGAGTCATCACAAGAAGTTGCTTTACTCTTTCTTCACATGATTTTATTTCTTCTTTCTGTAATTAATAAATAGCAATTTCATCACAATGTTTATAAAATAATAAACAAAATATCACTTGTCAAATTTTACAGGTATTTAAATTTTGAAGTCCCGACTAACCATTGTTTCAGAAGGCAAATCTTTTTCGTTTTTCCATGGAGCCTAAATTTTTTAAAACAATTGCATATATAAGTAGCATTATAATATTATATATATATATATATATATATATATATATATATATATATATATATATATATATACACTCACACACTCATAATAATAATAATAATAATAATAATAATAATAATAATAATAATAATGGAATGCATATATTACCTTCAGATAATCAAATTAAATTAGGCATTGGACAAGAATATGGCGGCGAAAGCTTGGATCTTTTAACTATATTGACAGTTGTACATGCAAAAGAAATAATAATGTCAGAGAAAGAAGTTGAGTACTAAAAAAAAAAAAACTAAATAATAATAATAACCTGAATGTTGAGACAATGAGAAAAAAGTATAGAAGTCAAATTTATATAAACTACAAAGCTTTTCCCACAGTTCCCCCCTCTACATGTTTCTATCCCTTTACTAGAACAGATCCATCATAACCTGCTAAAAATAAGTGCAATCTTTATAACCCATATTCACTAATTGCATATTTTCAAGAAAGTTACTAATTGACAAAGAATAAGCAATGCTGACCAAATTTTTATGGAAACTGACCTTTAAAATTATGAGCTCCTTTTTAGTGATCACCCGATTGTTTACATTTACTATTGCATTTCCATTGCTATCATTTTCCATGATTTGACCACCAAGAGACAGCCCTCATGTTCATCATTTTACCAAAATTTATTGCTATACAAAATAAAAAACTAAATATATTCAATAATGTAGAAAGAGCAAATATCTAATTTTCAAATAGAAAAAAGAAAGTATTAAAGACTTACCTTTCCCCGATAGCTGGAGAAATTATCATAGTAATAGCTTTCTGTTCTAAGTCTTTGTGGTGGGAAGGGGTAGGATTGTAATTCACCAACATCTTCCAAAGAAAGAGGTATGTCATTAATGATAACAATCCAATACGGGAGTAGGATGCAAATCTAATAATTTTTTTTCTAATTGATTCCTCATTGCACTTTTTCTAATTGATCATCAACTTTTAACTTTAAAGGTGATTTATCATGTTCAGTTTCTAAATCATGAACAGGTGATGAATCAGATAAGATGGAGGAAGAGTAGGATGCAAAGGTAATAATTTTTTTCTCTTAGCCAAATTGAATAAATTCATCATTAATAATTCATGAACAGGTGGTGAATTATATAAGCTTGTGGTTTCATGCTCTGATTTCAAGTCCTAGTCCTTAGATGATGGGTTTGACTTATGTAAATATCCCATATCATACTACTCATAAAATAAAATCACATTCATGACTAGTGAATAGTGATATACAAACTAAAAATGATCAATGTAACAATAATTTGATTTCACTTTACTTTTTTAGTTCCTTTTGTAATTATACATATAAAATATTTGCAAGCTCATAATGTATAAATGAAAAAAAAAAAGAAAAGCAAACCTGAAAGCAGAGAAGCTAACTGTAGACACAAACTCCCTAAGTTAGGTTTCTTTTGTATTTCCCTCTTTTACTGATTTACTACACAAAAGGGGGAATTCAATCATAAATCTGAATAATTCATGGCTAAATAATAAGTTAGATTCAAATTTGAGAACATGGTGAAATCGTTTGACATTGTTTACCATACGAAGCAAATAGTAATTAAAGGAACCTGTGGACATCCAAAAGGGCTACAAGAAATAATTAAGGACTGTAAAATAAGCTACTGAACCTTTTAATTGTACTCAAAATCATGAGCTTTTAATCTCCTAAACTAATTTTGATTCTGATTTTGTATGATCAAATTCTAATTTCACATCGAAACTACATAACGATATTCAATTATGCTTGAACCATATCTAATTAGCATAATTAATGAAACACAGGAAGAATAGGAACATAAATTGAGAGATGTAGATGAAAAAATAACTCGAGGAACAAAAATATTACATCTAATCGAGGCATCAAATACATGTAGGCTAAGATATATCAATTTCGATTGAAGATGCAACAACGGCGACAGCGGCAATACCGTGGACCAAAGATGGTGTGAAGCGACGGCGGGATGATGGTTCGGTGTCGACGAAGAGAGGGTGGTGATGGTGCTTTCAGATCAACATTAGCGGGAGTGGGAGTGGGTTTCAGATATCGTCATATCATGTTTCTTAGGTTGGATATTAGAGGAAGACTTAACATATTGAACACAATTGAAGGTAAATAAAACTATTTGTTAAAAATTTAGGGATATTTATATAATATTTCTTATATAATAGGTTTTTTTAGTGGCATATTAAATCATTATACCACTAATAACTATGAATATAAGTGACATAAAATATTAAGTGCCCTTAAACACATTGATTTTTTTTATGGCATATAAAAAATGCCACTAAAAACATGATATAGTGGCACATCAAAAATATGCCATTAAAAATGTGTGCCACTATATGTCATTTTATTTGTAGTGATAAAAACGAATAGAACCAATATTAAGAATAGGTAAACCCATACTCCCCAAAATAGGGTGTGGGACTTTCAATGGAGGAGAGATCATGAGAAACATGATTGCTTGAACCGGTGTCGGTGAGCCAAGTAGTAGTTTGAGATTGGTTTTCTACAAAGTTAGTGGAGGGTTGTGGGTGGGAGCGGGTGGTGTTAGGGTCACGATTAGGGTACTGGGACGGGATGTGAACAATACCACACCGGTTACACGTGCCATACACGGTGTTTTGGGTGGAAGCCCATGGGAATTGACTCCTCGTACCACTTGATGTAGGGTTGTAGTTGCCCCGAC